GGGATCTAGAGTGCCAGACAGAGATTCAAGTGGCCTGGCAAGTGTGTGTGCTGCTGGGTGCTAGGAGGAGGCTGACATGGGCCAGGGCAGCAGGCAGAGATTCAGGATGCCCTGGGGCAAGAACTGTGTTACAGGTGGAGATTGTGCTGCACAGGGGACCAGCTCAAGACACCAGATGGAAGCTATGGTGGATCAGGGGCACTCAGTAGAAACTCAAGTGGAGCAAGTAATTTCTCAGGCCAGGTTCCTTTCTTCAGTCTTTCAAGATAATTGGTGCATCATTGAGAGTCCTGCCATAATCTCCCTGAGTCCTCAATTATGTGAATAATATTCCTTTGCATGCCCTTTTGGCTTTTTATACCATATCTTCAGCACCATGAACATAAAAGCCACTCCGGTTGTGTTAGCATAGGATTTTGCATCATAAGTAGGATATCTAGGTGTTAATCAGCTCAGATTTCTGTCTTGTCTTAGCCTTTCTAACCTGCACTCTGCCTTTTTTCCCTTTCGGGTTTTTTGAGTCAGGGTCACACTAAGTAGTTCAGGCTGGACTTCACCTCACTGTGTAGCCCAGCCTGGCCGCAAACTCACAGAGATCCCTTGGCCTCTGCCTCCCAAACGAAGGGACTAAAGACTGTGCCTAGCTAACTTATCCTTCCTGATAACCAGCTAATATTCTGGCTCCTGTTGCTGTGTGTCTGGAGGTCTCATGTTGGTAACACTGTAGCTTTATTTCCTGCTGCTCAATTTGTAAATATTATCTCATTTTTCCATGTGAGAATATAGGCAAACATACATAATTTTCTATTTTCAATTTAGTGTTTTAATATTTTACCATGAATTTTATCATCAAAAGGGTTTTTTTTATCATCAAAAAGTTTCTGGTGAGCTTTAACAATAATAAAAATATGAAAAAAATATATAAATATTCTGGCAACCCTCAGAAAGTTTTATACCTTCAGTGTTTATGATTATCCAGGTTAAAACCTGTTTGACTCACCCTTGTCTTTTCCATAGATGACCAGTGTCCTCTATCTATTGCTCTTTTTCCTAAGTCTCCCATCTGGTATTATCCCTGGGCAAGTATTCTTGTAGTTTTGTACCCATGGAATGCTCGGTAAGTGACTACTACAGAACTTGCACAGAAAAGCATTGTGGGTGTTTTCTTTGTCACTAGGCTTCACATGTGCTCATGTCTGAGACAGGGGAAAAGTGCTTCTTATCCATCCAGTAGTCACATGGTTGAAGTTGTCCCAAGTTTAGTTTTCATTGATATGAAAAGAATCATATCTGTATCCAGGAACAACAGCACAAAGTATTTTCTGAAAATTAGTTTAAAGTCACTGGTCTGTAGCTTTCAGTATACTCCAAAATAGAGGAAATGATAGTGGGGTATAGCACTTGACCTGCTATTCTTACATCTAGTTACTAGTTGTGTCTTTCCACAATTTCATTTCCTTTAACTATTTCTTTAACCAAGATCATGGATCCTATTGTATATTAGTTTTTTCTCTTGAGTTATATGTGTTTTGTTCATTTTTCTATGTGTTCATGGTTTTTTATACTCTGTACACAAATCATTTTTATTGTATACACTGCAAATTTTGAAAATTTCTTGTCTGTTTTACATTCCATTATTAACATAGAGTTCAATTTGTCCCCATATTTCCAGTGACTTCTGGATTTTGTACTGGGATAAAACTTTTTAACTTCCAAATTTATCAAAGTATTAAGTTCATATTTTCATGTGAAGATGTAACGTAATTATTACTCATGGAATATAGAGAATAAAATGCATATGTTGATTTATGTACCTGTTTCTTCCTGTGTCCTTTATTAAAGGTACTGTGATTTCTGACTCTTTGTACACTAACAGCTCCATCATGAATCAATGTTCTGTTTACATATGAGCCACTGAAGGCTGTCTTCACTTTCTGTGATCTGTGTGTCATTCACTCTACTAATAGTACAGTGCCCCAAATAGCCAATTTTTAATTTCTTTTCTATATATTAGGCAAACTGTCAACATCCTGGTTGCTAGGAATTAAACATTATTTGGTGTTGGTAAAAGCTGGATTTCAACCTGCCAAAGATTAAAACTAGACCCCTATCTTTTACCAAGCACTAAACTAAAATGGAAGTGGATTAAAGATCTAAGTATTAAAACAAACACTAAACTTACTGGAAGGTAAGTTAGATAGAACTCTCGAAGACATTGGCGTAGAAAAAGATTCTATGAACAAATCCTCAGTAGCATGGGAACTTGCACAACTGGGATCTCATCTTATTAAAAAGCTTCTGCCCTGCAAGAGAGAACGCCATCAGAGCTAAGAGAAAACCCACAGTGTGGGAAAAATTTTTAGCAGTTGTTCCTCAGGCAAAGATCTACTATCTAGAATATATAAAGAACTCAAAAAACATCAGGCCCCCAAAATATAAAAACCCAGTTCAAAAATGGGCATCTGAAATGAACAGGCATTTTTCAGATAAAGAAGTAAAAGCAGGAAATATAAATATATGAAAAAAGGTTCAACATCACTGGTCATTTGAGAGGTGCAGATGAAAACAACACTGAGATTCCACCTCACCCCAGAAAGAATGGCTCCTATCAAGAAATCAACCAATAACAAATGTTGGCGGGGTTGTGGAGAGAAAGGAACCCTTCTCCATTGTTGGTGGGAGTGCAGACTGGTGCAACCACTGTGGAAATCAGTATGGAGATATCTCAAAGAACTAGGACTACAGGTCCCATTTGACCCAGCTATTCCCCTGCTGGGTATCTTTCCAAAAGAATTAAAAGAGTCATACCACAGTGATATATGCACACCCATGTTTATAGCAGCACAGTTTGTACTAGCTAAAACTTGGAAACAGCCCAAATGCCCATTAACTGGAGACTGGATAGAGAAGATGTGGTTTTTCTATAAAATGGAGTACTATTCAGCCATAAAGAATGAGAAACTAGAGACATTTATGGCTAAATGGGTGCACATTGAGGCCACCCTCTTAAGTGAAATAAATAGGACACGTGTAAATACTGAATAGTTTCTCTCATGTGAAAAACTAAAAGTGTAAATAAGGTTCAAATGATATAATTGATAATGTGAAATATGAAGAAAAGGTCCAAAGGAGTTGGGGAAGTGGGAAGAGTAGGGGAGAGGAAAGAAGGGAAAAGAAAAAATATGAGAAAAGGAAAAAATGGAAACAAAGTCTCTGTAAATAGGGAAGGGTGGAGGGGATGAAGGGAGGCCAGGGAAATGGGGAAAAAATAAGAACTAAGATACATCATGTAAAGTACAAGATCCCAAGGATGAATGTAACTATTTTATACCTAAATGTACCAATAAACTTAATGATAAATTAAAAATCAAACATTATTTAACATTTATTATACTGAACACATAATTTAACTGATGAATCAAAAACATGATTTGGAAGTGACAAAAATTTTTCTTTAATTTTTCCATTATTAACCTTGTAAAATTTGGAGTTCAGTACATATATCTATTTTGATCATATCCATACACTCCATTGCTCTACCTTACACCACCTAGAATTTTTTTGTAACCTTATGATAGTCGACTATTTGGTGTCATTGATTCATAACATGTTACACTTTCCTTACTTTAAATACATTGTCATTAGATACTCTGAATTAAATAATATGTTTTTCATTAATATTTAATTTTAATTTACCATTCATAAGTTTTACTTAGTGTCTAATTAAGGTTTAGCCCATGAAACCAAGTTCTAAATATTGTCTAAATAAAATATTGTCTAATATTGTCTAAATAAAATCAGAGAAGGGCCAGGAATTTAGCTCAGTGGTTCTGCCGTCTGCCCCGCAAGCACAAAGACCTGAGTTTGATCCCCAGTACCAAACAAACAATCAGACAAACACAAAACAAAATCAGAGAAGAGAAGTATCAATTTTCTAAGTGATAAGTTAAGAAAAGAGATTTTTTTTTCCAGTACCAGGAATCGAACTCAGGACCTTGTGGTTCCAAGGCAGGCACGATGTCCCTGAGCTAAATCCCTGGCTCAAAAAGAGATATTTTCTATGTGTTGGCAGAATAATTCATTAGATATTCATCTACCCTGGGTTTTTATTTGGATGTTGATTTGGTAAGCTCCCTCTATTAGCCATGATTTATAGATAGTGTACAAATAAAACTGGATCAACCACCAAGAAAACTAGTGCTCACATTCTGCTTTGGCATTATCAGTGGACTCAAATCTAGCATTGGATTTCCTGGGTGTGGTTTGCATATTGGAGAATAAGTTTTGGAAAATACATATTGATCAAAATGTGGAGTAAACTTTGAAAGGACTCACAGTCATTTCAACTGTTTATAAAGGAGTTGAAATGTTCTGTGATAGATTTCCCTCACCTTAAGATAGCTGCTATATATCATTATATATATAATAGCTGCCTTCTTCCCATAATACCTTGCTTCCCACCTAAACCCAGTTCCAAGATGGCTCCTTTCCCACCCAAAGTGGCCTCTTTCCCATAATGCCTTGCTCTCCCCACCTAAAAACCAACCCCAAGATGGCTTCTCCCACCAAAGGAGAGCCTTCTTCCCAACATGCCCCTTTTCCCGCCAAAAGAGTAACCTGATACTTGCTCTCCTCCCAACAACTAGTGATGTTACAGGCTCCTCCAGTCCCTAGCCACTACATCAGTCAACCCCCCCCCCCCAGCTCCTACAAGGAGTGCTCCCTATCCCAGTCATATTGCACTTCTTTTTTTTTTTTTTTTTGGTACTAGGGATTGAACTCGGGACCTTGCACTTATGAGGCAGGCGTGGAACCACTGAGCTAAATCCCCAGCCCCTTAGCCATATTGCTTTTGTCTCACCTTTTAGAGACACCCCAACAGATTGTCCCTACAATAAAGGCTTGTTGTGGTCTGGTCTGGTCTCGCTTTTTGACTCTTTTTACCTGACACTATGTTGGGTCTCAGTCTTATTGCTGGAAATGTATGTGTGATGATTTAGGAGGCAGTGACCTTTGAGGATGTGGCTGTGAACTTCACTTTGGAGGAGTGGGCTTTGCTGGACCCATCCCAAAAGAAGCTCTACAGAGATGTGATGTTGGAGACACTGAAGAACATGTCTGCTATAGGTAAGGAAGATAACCGTTTTCTAATTTGTCTACTTAGCACTGCTTCTTGCTTATTGGTGAAGTTTTATTTGTTAGAATATGAATGCATTTTGATGAACATTCCTCACATGGTTATATAATACCATGATTGTAACTGGTATCTATTAATTTTATGTAGTAATGTAGTAACTCATTATATTTCTGTTTCTACATTTCAGAACACACCTGGACTGACCAGCAAGTGGAAAATGGGAGCAACTGTTGGAGAGGAAATCTAAGGTAATTTGCACTCACAAAAAAAACCAATGGGCCTGGCATGGTGGCACACACCTGTTATCCCAGCACTCAGGAGGCTGAGTCAGGAAACTTGCTGTGAGTTTGAGGCCAGCCAGGACTACATAGTGACTTCAGGGTCAACCTGGACTACACAACGAGACCTTGGCTCAAAAAAAGAAAATAAAGTAATACTTCTTAGGGGTCAGAGAATGAGTAGAAATTTGTTCCATGCTCAAGATTACAAAAATATTATATGAAATTATATCTAGGCATTGGCTATAGGTATATATGAAATAAACTTCATGTTTAACCTAGGACCCAAGTGCAGGGTATCTCGTTATGTGTACATAGGATTATTTTCTAAAGACCACTTTCATATTAAACTTTTTATTTAAGAAATGCTATCTGTATTTAAATGTGGTATACACATTCAATATTGTCTAAATTGCTAACCTTGTGAAAAATTGAAATGAACCCCACTGTTTTGATAAGAGCTGTTGTCAGTAAATTTTTCAAAAGCATTTAGTCTATTCTTGTTCCAAAATTATTAAATGTCATTTTCCTGGGGCCGGGGATTTAGCTCAGTGTTTTTGCCACCTGCTGCACAAGCGCAAGGACCTGAGTTCAATCCCCGGTACAAAATAAATAAATAAATAAATAGCCATTTTCCTATATTGTTAGTTGGAATGTCATATAGTGCAATCTCTATGGAAATGTGTGTAGAGATTCCATAAAATATTAAAAACAGAGCTTTCATTCAATCCAGGTGAACTCTCCAGTTGTTAAATAATCATATTATAGAGATACATGCATGTCCATGTTTGTAGCAGCACACCTCACAATAGGCAAGCTCCGAAACAAGCTAGATTCCCATGCACAGATGAGTGAATTCAAACCATGAGGTAGTCCAGGAAGGATGGTGCATATTTGGAATCCTAGCACCCCGGGAAGCTGAAGCAGAAAGATCACACTCTCATGCTCAGCCTGGCAAGTTAATAACTTATGAGAGTTCTTCTCAAAATAGAAAAAAAATAAGGCTGGGGGTGTAGCTCAGTGCTAAGACACTGGGTGAAATCACCAGTACTGAAACGCTAAGGTATGTATATATAATGGAATTGTATTCAGTTTACAAGAATGAAATGCCATGACCCACGTGGTGAAGGGTTTATGGAGTGAGAAACAACGGTGAGAGGTTAAGAAAGACAAAGAGATTTAATAAGGTATAGTTGGGGCCAGGTGGGGCTCTTGACTCCTGATAGGAGGAAAAGACCACCAAGCAAATGGGCCCACGTTTATTTATAGTGGTAGAGGTAAAAGGGGATATTCTGTAACCGGAGGCAGGAGAACAGCTAAGGGCTGCAGCACATCATGTTTGGGTTTTGGCGAGTGGGTAGGGAGGAAGACAGTCTCCCGGGCCAGGCCTCACTCCACCACAGCCACTGTTCACGTGTTCTCCCCACACTGGGCCCTGCCTCATCTGCAGGAGGAAGCAAACAAGATGTGTGTTTTTTGTTCCACGTGGGGCTATCTCATTTTCCAAAAATGGATGGATTTCAAGCCCGTGGTATTAAGTGAAATAAGCAACACTTCTAAACTTCAGGGTCACATGGTATAGTTTCTATGAGAAACTCGAAATATGAATTAAGGAGTAAAATAAAGGAGAGATGGTAAATCAAAAATGAAGCAGACATTTTGTATTGGGTTAAGATGTTCAGTGGAAGGGAGCTGCAGTACTGTCATGGAGGAAAGAGTGCCGAAAACAAATATACAGTATACATGTATACTGATTCCCAAAATTGACAGTAAGCATTATGTAATATAAACGCATCGTTTGAAGCTCCCAGATGAATACCAGTGTTTTAGTGAGAGCTGCTTTCCAGCCACCCTGCAGAGTGTACATTAAATTCATGGTCACACATTCTAAGGGGCACCATACCAGATCTGCTCCTGGAAAATCCTTAGTAAGGAGACACTTTCAAATGGGATTGTCATATTGCTTTTTCTTTCATAGATGTGAAGATGTAGAGAAATGCTACCAGTATAAATTATGGAATCCACCCAGAGAAATGTTATTTTGGACTCCAGACCCTAATGTGAACATGAAAACACTTGGTGCACAGCCAGCGGAAAGCCTTGCCTGTAGAAATTCCCTGATTGGTCATGCATCAACAGATGTGCCCATCAGAGCTCACAGTGCACTCAAATCATGTGACAATCGGGTATTGGAAGTGAAGCTGTCTACCTACAATGAACATGGGGAAACCTGCAGTGATTTCCAGTCCTTTCAGAAGCATGTGAAAACAAACCCTGGAAAGAAATCCCATGACTATAAGCAATGTGGGAAATCCTACTCTCATTGCAGTGAAGGAAGTCACATTAGAGAGAAGCCCTTTCTATCTAAAGAAAAAGCTAAAGGCTATATATGTAAGCAGTGTGGGAAAGCTTTCAGAAGTAACTGCCATTATAAAATGCATGAAAGAACACACACTGGGGAGAAACCCTATGTATGTAAGCAGTGTGGGAAAGCTTTCACCAGCAACAGCAATTATAAAACACATGAAAGCATTCACACTGGGGAGAAACCGTATGCATGTAAGCAATGTGGGAAAGCCTTCAGGAAAAAGAGTCATTGTCAAAGACATGAAAGTACCCACACTGGAGAGAAACCATATGTATGTAAGCAATGTGGAAAAGCTTTCATCACACGAGATAATTGTAAAAAACATGAAAGAACTCACACTAGAGAGAAACCCTATGTATGTAAGCAGTGTGGAAAAGCATTCACCACTCACATTTACTGTCAAACTCACGAAAAATACCATACTGCAGAGAAACCCTATGTGTGTAAGCACTGTGGGAAAACTTTCACCACTCGCAGTTACTGTCAAACCCACGAAAGAATTCACACTGGGGAGAAACCATATGTGTGTAAGCACTGTGGGAAAGCTTTCACCAGTAATAGCACTTATAAAATACATGAAAGAACACACACTAGGGAGAAGCCCTATGTATGTAAGCACTGTGGAAAAGCATTTACCACTCACAGTTATTGTCAAATTCATGAAAAAACTCATACTAGGGAGAAACCTTATGTTTGTAAGCAGTGTGGAAAAGCATTTGCCACTCTCAGCTGTTGTCATATCCATGAAAAATCTCACACTGGGGAGAAACCTTACATATGTAAGCAGTGTGGAAAGGCATTTGCCTCTCAGCGTTATTGTCAAACTCATGAAAAGGCTCATGCAGGGGAGAAACCCTTTGTTTGTAAGCATTGCGGGAAGGCTTTCATCTCTCATAGTCAACGTCAAATACATGAAAGAAGTCACACTGGAGAGAAGCCTTATGTATGTAAGCAGTGTGGGAAAGGTTTCACCACTCACAGTAATCGTCTAACACATGAAAGAAGTCACACGGGAGAGAAGCCTTATGTATGTAAGCAGTGTGGGAAAGCCTTTCCTACTAGTGGTTCTTTTGGTAGACATAAAATGAGTCACACTGGAGAGAAGCCCTATGTATGTAAGCAATGTGGAAAAGCATTTCCTTATCACAGTTCATTTTATAAACATAGAAGAATACATACTTTGTAGAAATCCTGTATGTGTAAACAATGAGTGAAAGGCTTTACCAGTCAGTGGTTTTCAAAGACATGAATTCATTCTGGAGAGAAACCTATGTATGTAAGTAGTGTGGGAAAGCATTCAGTGTACACAGGTATTGTCAAATGCTAGAAAGAAGTCACACTGAAGAGCAAACTTTTGTATGTAATCTTCAGTTATTCCAGTTATCATGATAGTTATTAAAAAGTCACAGAGGTAAATTAACTGAATATGTAATGTAACACTGACAGAAAAGGACTCACAGTTCAGGGAAGCCCTTTGTCAGGAATAAGGAAAATCTTCAGTACAGACAGCTATTGTTACATACATGGATGAATTTCATAGTTGAGAAAATCTGAACATATGTGAGCCATCTGAAAAGGTTATATTTTTCCCAGTGCACTCATGTACACGAACGAATTCACATGAGCGAGAAGCCATGTGTATGTAATCCTTGGAGAAGACCCTTCAGTTCTTCCAGTTACCTTGAAATACATGGAAGGACTCACTGGAGAGAAACTCTATATAGAAAATTTGAGAAAGCATTTTGTGTTTCTCATAACCTCAGAAAACAAGAACAAATTGAGTAAGCATGAATAAAGAATGTGAGAAGTCTTCATCTATACATGATTTTTTGTATGAACATTGTATTGTGGAGAAATCCATATAAATGTATATTGTCCAGGAACACCTCTGGTCATTTACTCTTATTGATAGGTATATTTTGTGGGAACACCTCTAGTCATTTGGTTTTATCCATATTGCAAATGAACACAGTATGGATCAATGCCCTGTGAATGTACAAGGTTCTCAATTATAAGTCATAGAACCAAAATCTGTGGAACATTTCTCATGTACTACAACATACAGGATAATTGAAAATGTGATGTCAATTATTTCTGTGTAGAATTCTGCAGAAAACATACAATCAAAGGAGGTGTCCTGAAGGATAAATGTAGTGTGTTCATCTGCAACTCATTCTCAGAGTAGGTCTCTGGAATACATATTTGAAACTTCACTTTTAAGAATAAATGTGCTGATGTAATTCTGCTTGTGTATGTAATAATGCTAGAGCTTAGTATTGTCTTTTTAAAAAATTAAATAGTGTTACTTTTTCATTTCACACTATGATCCATAAGTGAATTGAAATGTATTTCTTTATATGGCAGTGGGCCTGCAATTTTGATATTGTGGTTTTCTTTGTTTTGTTTTTTTTAAATTGTGGACAATAGAGCACTAAAAACTGAATTTTTGTAAATTGTATTTTTCTGTACATTTGATGTAAATTCTTAGTGTATACAATCCATTTTTCTTTTTGCAAAAGAATTCTTAAATTGGAGGTTATATTATTATGAGGAATATTTTTAAAGATTTCTGTACATGTGTTTTACAGAGTTCACCTCTTTTCAAACATCATGAAGATTAGCAAATATTAATTTCGATATTCTGTAAAGATACATCTATATATATACATATATATGTCAACAGTTATACATTACATCCAGTACAGAATTTTGCCTGTTTTCCTTTGATGTCAACAGCCATTACATATTATCATGTGTATAAAATTTTAGGTGTTTTTGATATGAATTTTATATTGATATTGGCACTATTTATTATGCTGATAATTTTTCCATCAGTTATACCAAAAAATATACTTCTGAGGGTCTCCCAGTGCCAGAGACCAGCAGCACCATAACTATTCTCAAATAGGATCTAATGAATTTTACTAATTAGTCTCTCCACAAACTAAGAATGGTGTCATGGTTTGTCAGAATATACTCAAAGGAATTTTTTTTCCCATTAAAGTACATTTAGGTATTGGTACATTTTAGGTATAAAATACAGTTACATTCAGCTTTGGGATCTTGTACTGTTACATGAGTATCTTGGTTCTTATTTTCCCCCCTTCCCCTGCCCTCCCTTC